CACCCACTCCCTTCTCACGTCCAGCAGCGTGGCATGTCTTCTGCAAGCGGCTGGAGCTTGGGGAGCACCCAGCATCCCCGTGCCCTGGCTGGAGCAGGATGCATGCAAAACGGTGGAAGTCACTTTCCCTTAGGGGAAACAGCCTATTTTTTTCAACTCCATCATGTACTTGATTTGCAAACACAGTCTACAAAAAACCTGCACATAACAATACTCCAAACACTGAATTTTGGGAGCATGACCTGGGAAGGATATGAGGGGGAGGGGAGACCTCTAGCTGAAGCCCAAGGGACCAAGTGTAGACCTCAGCTGGTTCCTCTCTGATGGAGAGCCACTGCACTCCGGGGACAGGGGTGGCATCGGATCAATACTTGCCTGCCAAAGTCACAATTCCCCACAAAATAACGCATTCCCAAAGAGTCTGACTGAGTAATACTGAGTCAGTTACTTCCAGAAATGTTGAATCATTCTGGATAAAATGCATGGCTTTGAGAGAGAAATATTGAACAGTACTGAATATTCACTCCAATATTAGAGACGTGCGTATATTTTTCCCAGTGGCATGGCTGTGAATGCATTACTGGAACATTTTAAGTTCATATAAAATGCAAACCCAAGACATGTCACAAGTAAAAGCAAAACACTGAGGCTCTGTCCAAACAGAACAGCAAATCTCCTTTTCAGCGATACCAAAGAAATCCAAGCCGTTTGATACTTTCCTTGTGATTTTGTTGTTATCACTGTTGTCATCAACATATTACCAGAAGATGCCGCAATTTTTTAAACCCCTCTTTTTCCAGGCCTCACTCCAGCCTAGATGATGATGGATAAGCTGCTAGATTCCCACATAATACTGGAGTTTAGTTTCTTTTTTTTTTTTAATTTGCAAAATAACCTGGGAAACGTGACCCCGAAGAGAAGTCGCAAAGTCAAAGGTAATGTCAGAAGGAGGGATGCCTCGGTCACGCCAGTGCAGCCGCATCCTTCGCTGCAGGATCCCACCCGATCCTTTCCTCAGGCTCCCCTCTCTCCAGCCCTATAGCGAGGGGCTCAGCACCTTCTCGCTCCCTCTAAAACCTAAATGCACAGAGGAGAGAAACAGCAGCCCAGGTTGTACCCCTCTGCCGAGGAAAGGATATAGGAGATGAATAACAATTTAATTTTAGGGGCCCAGCATATCATATTCTGTATGCCCAGTTTGAGAAAACCCCGGATTCATTTGTAGGAGGGCTGGTGTTTCCCAGCTGGAGTTGCTCAAGTGGCTTTTTCTATTATAAATGGTCTCCAGACAGCTAAAACAAAAAAGCATCCCGTACCAGAGCAAAAAGCAGAACTGTGATAGGTTTGGTACATCGAGGCTCCTTTGCCTGCTCAAGTCCCACGGAAATACCTCGAGAAATAATGAACAAGCCAGCAGACATCACTCACGCAACGCGCGCTGAAATGCCACGGGGAGCAAGCGAAACCCAGCCCCACGCTCTGACCTCCAGGACGGCACGTTTCCGCAACAACCCTTAAAAACCACGTCCCGAGCAGCGTTGCTTGTTATCTAGGTGCTGGAAGATTCGTGAGACTGTCCCGCTGCTCCCCGCGGAGCCAAGGCTGCGAGGACACGGTGCTCCTACAAGGTGGCTGCTACCCCGGGACCGTCCCTTGCCCCCCACGGCCCTGTGCATCACTCCCCAGAGCACTCCCGCCAGCCCAGGTCCTGCTGCGGCGTGTGGCTTGACACGACAGCTCCGACATCCGCCATGATACAACGCTCGTATCTGACCTCCCCTCCCTCACCACCAACTCCTGTGGTGGCTTTACCAGCAGGCACCATCTTCCTGGGTGATGGACATACCACAGCAGGCTGGGATGAGGATGGTACCCGGAGGGGGATGTTATCTGCAGGTTCACTGGCATGGGGATGGGTGTAGATGCACTGCTGCAGTCTCCTCCTCCTCTCTAGTAGCCTCTGAGCTTGGCTGCATCTGGCAGACCCAATCTGGCATTTGCTATTTTGGGCAGCGCTGTCTCAGCGGAGGTGGGGAATAGCGCAGGGAGCACCGCACACACAGAGCAGAGAAATCCAGGGCAGCCGCGCTCTGCAGAAACCACAGGTCCCCTGCAAAGCCATTTCCACATTCGTGGCAATTAGCACGCTATTAAGGTCCCCTGCCTTCCTCAGGGCACAAGCGCCCGGCAGATGTACGACCCCCACAAACGCGTTGGCTTGCGATGGATTTGTCAGTCTTGGTCGACATGATGCTGCTGCTGATTCCTGACCATGCCATACATGCCAGAGCTTTGAAGCGCTCCTGCACGCGAAGAAAGCAGCGCGAGAAGAGGCAGCCTGCTCCTGACCCACATCTTGGTTGCTTTCCATGCACCTCCACCTCCTGCAAGATCTGCTCAGGCTCTGGCTTGTCCTACAGACCCAGGGGAGATCTGAGCCACGGTGGGATGGGCTGGCTCCCTCCATGCACCAGCCCTCTCTGAGGGGAACATCAGCCCAGGCCACTGTCTGCCACCGCTTTCCTTTAAGGGTGGTGTCAGTGGGATGTGGAGCTCTTGCTGGCTGGCACGTGCCCTGGCTCACCAGCCAGGCTGCCGGGGCGGCTCTGGCACGCTGATGGGTGGTTATTTGCTGGGTCTCACACACAGATATTCTGTTCTCCCAACAGCAAAAATACTTGGGCTAGACCAAAGTGAGGAATAGAAGGGGATGAGTAGTGCCGGTTGCCCACGGCTGACTTACCACCGCGGCAGGTGCCTCTGTGCTTGCTCTGGCCAATCAGCTACTTGGGAGAGGCAACATTTGGTGCCTGGGCTCCCCTCCCTCCTCCAGCATCAGCACAAATAAGAGGTGGGGCTGCTGCTGGGGGTGGTTATCAGCTCCACCTGAGCCTCCATAGCACTGCCAGAAGCACCTGCGCTCCCCTGGATGGGGAATAAGGGGATGCTCTTGAGCACATTAGCTACTGCACCACTTCAAAAGCACAGCTGAATCCAAACTGCCCCGGAGAGCAGAGAAAGGGGACTGGGAACAGGCAGCAAAGCATCTTATGAAGGAGCTGGAATCACCTTTAAAGGCAGAGGTTTGAAATGCTCCAGAGAGCTGAGCACGCATGGGCTTTACAACATCTACGCAGAGCAAATAGTTGATGCTCCGCAGCAGGGGCTGGCAGCCACCTTCACCTTGCCTGAGCTTTGCCAGTAGTGGGCTCCTGGGCTAGGGGAGTGGACCTCTGTGGGGAGGTGAAGATGCTGCCCGATACACGCAGAGAACAGGCACATGCTGTCCTGCTCAAGCCAACTCCCATCCTTCGCCCTCTCTGAGCCACGCTATCATCCCTGCCAGCCACCGAGCAGCCGCGCTAGCCCCCGAGCTGGGGCTGGAGTCCGTAACCCCCTGCCCATCCCTGGCTCCACCGATGCGGTGGCATGACGCCACGTCCCTGTCGCAGCCCCGTGTGAGTGCTGTGCAGTCAGCACTGGTGACAGGAGGAGAAGTGGTCCAGCATCCCAGCAGGAGAAGCGAGGGGAGCTGCCAGCGGTGCCTGCCGACACGAGGGGAGGAAGAGAGGGAAAGTCCGTGAAGTCCTGGGGCTCACCTGGAAAAATAATGTATTTCTCATGCGGTACGGTGCAAAAATGCATTCTGTAGCTGCTTTAGCTGCCTGGGGACATGGTGAGTCATGATCCCCTCATTTGCAATACGGGAAAAACGTGTACCATACGTTTTGTACAGCAGGAAATTAAAAGATGGAAAATATATTTGTTTCCCTGTTTGAGAGGTAGAAGAGAGAAGTAAAGCCTGGAAGCAGAAGGCAGGGCTGGACACTGAGGGTCTTGCGGAAGGGTGTGGGGCACAGACATGGCAGATCCACCCAGACAAGGGGGCAGGCAGAGATGTTTGCTGTCATACTGTAACTTGTAAACCAATCTTAGGGAAAACCAAAGCATTATGCAAGCCAAGTACCCTCCCTTTCCAATTAAGAAAGCCTGTCATCACTCAGGAAGTGTATCGCTCCTGAGGACTGTCTCTAAATAAAATAAAATATGGTGATGATAATATTGATGATAATAATAATAACGATAATAATAATAATAATAATAATGTTTTGTATACAACGACCACCTTCCCTCCAAGCAGCTAAAAAGGTGCGGAAGGATGCAGAGGGAAGGCTGGGGCTGGAGACGACAGGGCGACCCAGGAGAAGAATAGTCGGAGCCCATCGGTAGCAGAGCTGCACAGACATTTATTGAACACGAACAACGACAAACACAGCTGGCTCACAGAGCTTCCTGAGCTATCGTCCAAAGGTTTTGCTCGTGGGGGTTGTCAAAAGAGTGCTTTCAAAGGCCCCTGGGGGTGTGAATCCCATACGGCTGAATTCTTCCCACTTTCAGTTGCTCGTTAGTTAAAAAAGAGGACTGTTTGTGTGTGTGGGGGTGTGTGTGTGTGTGTGAGATTCCCTTCATTTGGCATGAAAAATGGCTTGTCTGGACCCTGCCATGTTGCAAAGGGAGCAGTCTGCGGGTGAACCCCTGCATGCACGTTGGCTTGGCTCCCGCTCGTTCTGCTTCCCAGACAACACGGGGTGAAAAACACGCCTTGCCCCGAGGGCAGGGATTCGAGATTGCGAAGGTGAGCCAGGGCAAGCAAAGCGAACAAAGAGGGAGCGTCAAAGGAAGGAGGGTGAGAAAAGTACTCTGAAGCACGCACAGCTCTGGGTGGCATCACACGTCCATAGGCTACAGCAAGTACCGCCAAGGTCAACTCAAACGTGTAAGGAGCTACGCTAGACTGACAGTAGAGACCCCAGCATATTCTGAGGTCTCGCCAGCGGAAAAAAACCAACCCCCCCTCCCCGCCCCCCCAAAAAGCAGATGAAGTAATAAAACCTTACGCTGAAAACAAGGACCATAACCAAAGAGTTCGAGAGCAGCCTCAGGAGCACAGTAGGGAGCTGAGGGTCGGGTGGTGCGGAGTGGAGGATGGTGGGTGGAAATTAGAGTGCGCCCATTCCAGTGACCTCAGACGTCAGCCTAGAATAGACAGGGGCAGAGAGAGGGACGGGGAGGAGACAAAAACAAGCACTTAATAACCAGAGCAGAAAAGAAAACGGAGACCCTGCGGGGCAGCACTCCTCCTCTTACCTACGCCCTGCTCAGACTGGGGGCAGAGCACCCCTGGGTGGCATGGGGCTTGGGGGGGTCTTTCTGGAGGGCATGGGGGGCCGGAGCGTAAAGCCAGCTCAACGGCCAGCTGCCTTCCCCCCCTCGCTGCTGCCAGGCACCGTGC